GCCAATAATGAGGCTTGGCATTGGAACCAAACTATTCCTCTTACTTTCCAAACACTTCAAGGTCTAACAAGAAGAGTACAACTGGAAAACGACTGCTCAAGGCAACGAAGGTTGCTCATTCCTCAGGGAAAGCCAAGTCCCAGGCTAAGCTGTGGGGGTGACCACCAGAGCTGGTGGTCCTTGGGGACTTTGGGGAAGGGTGCTCCCTGGCCTCTCGGAGAAGCCCAGTGTGGCTCTTTCCAAGCTTCACAGATGCATGTGGGCATCTTGCTTTTGGTCATTGGCTTCCTAAAGCCCTCAAGGGCTCACAGTGCCAGTCACAGCTGGGGAAAAGCCAGATAGATGGGCCCAAGGCAGAAGGCTGGGAACTTTCCACGGCATCGGTATGTGTGTGGGCACCACAGCCTCCCAGGAGGCAGCCCAGGATCGTGACACACAGAGGGGCTGTGTGGGTAAACTGGGGAGACAGTCTCAGGGAGAAGATACCCCAAACAGCTCCCCCAAGAGGGAACCAAAACTTGGCCAAAGATCCAGCCACTCTACTTCCCCAAGGAAGGGCTCCCGAACCAAGGCAGGGTCTGTGCCATCCTGACTTGGTTATATAACTAAACACAACAGATTGTGCAAACCAAGTTCAAACTGAAGCAGCCTCTCCTGCTGTGAATGTTTACTTTCCTGTGGGTGGTCAAGCCAAACCAAAACATATCCTCTCATGTACTACAATAACCCCGGGAAAGTAAGGGGTACTTTCTTCTGCTTTAAAGAGATTTATAAACAAAGCTGAGAGGCTCAGTTGTTTAGTTAACTGAGTTTGAGTTAATCTAAGTATAAGTGCTGAGAAGACATCTGAATGCAAATGCAACCACTGTGTAGCAATTGTCCCAGATGTTAATGGCAGCAAAAACTCCTGTTCCTGACCTACAAGGTTTATGGTCCCCATTTGTGGATGAATTACAGAATCTTCTGGAAAATCTTTGAGCTTCTCATAGAGAAGAACCCCCGCTCCCCCCCACACCCCCACCACATCCCCACCCAATGCAAGTGTTTTCAACTAGACTTCAAAGAACCCAGGCTTTGCAGCAGCTAACAACACTAAATTGACACCTCTTAAGAGCAGTGCCCCCCTCCCCACCTCTATGCAACAAAAGGAAAGAGACAGATAAAGGGCCCAGGGGGCACTCCAGGTCTTTGGGCCCATCGGGAGGAATGCTGTAGGCCTGACTGTGGAGACTGAAAACAGCTGCTCTCTGGTGAAAAAGGGTGAACTATGACCACCCACAGGAAAGTAAACATTCACGGCAGAGGAGGCTGCTTCAGTTTGAACTTGGTTTGCACAATCATGTGTTTAGTTATATAACCAATGTCGGATGGCACAGATCCCGCCTTGGTTCAGGGGCTCTTCCTAGACTGCCCAGCATTCCTATCTCCTTGGGGAAGTAGAGTGGTTGGATCCTTGGCTAAGATTTGGGGAGCTGTTGGAGTGCCTTCTCCCTGCTGCAACCTCCCCACCAGCTCCCCCCCCCCCCCCCTAGGCAGCCCACAGGTAATCCTGGGAGGCCTGCTGGGCTGGGTAGTAACACCTCTGCCTCAACCCTGCATCCTTGACCTCTGTGTGAAGCTTTGCCCCCCACAGCCTGGAGTTAGGGCCTGCAGCCTGTTAGAAACTGCCCTCAGTGGTCCCTGCAAGGACCACCCAGGCCTCATCCAAACAGACAGCTCCTCACCTACATATTTCCTTTGCTTAAGCTCCTTTTAGGCTTCTTACCTATGGAATCATCACATATTAGAGCAGCAAGGAGTTTTTACAGTTTGAATAGTCCAACTCCTCATTTTATGAATGAGGTCCAGGGAGGGGGCACATTAATGGCAGAGCTGGGACATGAGCCATGTCTTCTTTTAGCCACATCTAGAATTGGCTTCTAGACCATTTCTCTTTCCATATGACTGTATTAGCTCTCAAAGGAATGGATCACTAATGGCAGCATCGAGGGCCCTCTCAGAGGTGGGTTCTGAGCCATGAGATTCTGGAGGCTCCTTAGGTCATCCCGTACCTGTGCTATCTACACCCACTCCAACCTCCACTGGGTGTGCAGCAGTTGTGACCAGCTCACACTCACCCTCCTATATTTTGTAAGCCCAGCTGTGTTCCATGTCTCTGTGTATCTTGGCAGAAGGGAACAGTGGAGCCCTGGCAGCCCCTGCCCTCACATGTCTGGTCCTAAGCCAGGACGTGGAAGACTATACCCAGATCCCATGGGAGCAGTCACTAAGCATGAGGCTTGTTGGGCTCGTATGTGGGTGAAAGGCTATTGTGCATTGGTGACATGGGGGCTCCCTAAGTTCCATCTGGTGCTGGATTTAGAATCAGGTCATATCAGGTCATCATAGAAGAATGGGAGAGGCACTCCACTCCCATCCAATGGCTGGGTGCCCTTTCTCTAAAGGTCTCTTGGCCCAAAGAGTCCTCATTTTAGTTGTCTGCCACAGACATCCCGCTTCCAAAGGCTGGGACCAGTCACTGTGCTTAAGGAATAGCTGAGAGTCAGGTGGGACCCCACAGAGAGCATGCAGTTGGAGTGTATGGTTGCTTTTTTGAGCGGTTATTTTCTGTGAAAGTCTTTCCTTTCCTGGAAGGGGGTGGGCGGGGAGGAGCAGAAAGTTTGGAGTCTTCTTGCTCTCATCCTGGGCCAGTTCAGTTTACCCAATTGGCCACTCACACTGAAGAACAATGATGACAATTTGCCCACACACAGCACATACAGACATACAGCTCATCTGTGCTGGGCATATACTCCTACCACAGGGCCTTTGCACTTGCTCTCTCCTCAGCCTGGTGCACAGTCACTCCAGATAGAAGCTGACACTTCTTTATTCCTCAGGATTATTCAAAGTCACCTCTTAGTGAGGGCTTGTCCTTTCACCTGACACTCCTTTTCCTTCTTCAGTGCTTTCTTTTTCTCCGTGGCACACATCTTCTAATGTACACATTTATTTTATTATTCATCTTTCCTCCCAACAAAACTAAACTCCATGAAAGCATGTTTCTTGCTAAGCCCCTGTGCTTAGGGCAGAGCCTGCACATAGTGGGCCGTCCCTGAGTTCTGCCAACACTTCCTCAGAGAAAGGTGAGGATGTCATCTTGGCCCACCCAGGTGTGAAAATTGGAGAAAGAAAAACTACTGAACACTCCCACAGCTTTTTGCTAAGTAGGACCTACTGGGGTATCCACAATGACCCTCAAACCCTGACTCCCTGGAGGAAACAAACCATCACACCAGAAGACAATTTTACTTTCTGAAACGGCGTGACTTCCTGAAAACGTTTATTTTAAATTATATGAATTCAGAGGAGGATGCAGAGTGGCACAGGAACAGACATAAATGCCAACACTCTCTACAATTTCCTACGACCATTCATAAATCTGGGCGAGGGTGCCATATGGGGAGCTGAGATGCCAAATGCATAGGTTGCCCTTACCCTGCACCTCTATCCTGGTTGCAGAGCCCTCACACAGCTGCTGGGGAGGAAGAGAGGTGTCTGCTCACTGAGGCTCCAGGGGAAGATCCAGGCTTTGCGGAGCCTGAAATTCATACAGTGGAGAGGAAGGGGGCAGGGTGCACAAACTTAAAAAACATCAGTCAAAATTAGGATTACAACTGATGAGGTTAAAGTTTAAAATTAAACTGGCTGGCACCCCTACCAGCTCCCCAACCACTGGCAATATCTGCTATGCCACAGCTTCCCCCATCAGTACCATGAACACCCTAACCAGTTCCAAGAACAGATGCTAATGCAGCGCTTGCTAAGTGAGCGAAAAGAAACCACAAGGGCCTCCCTGGCGGCACAAGGGGTTAAGCACAGCACAGCACTGTGAAGCTAGCTAGCCTGCTGGCCAGGGAGCTACCCACATGGCACAGGAGACCTCTCCTGTCTCACCCGCTGCTCCCCTCAGCTGGGTATTTCAGTAGATCTGCCTGTTCTGCTCCCCACTCTGGTGAATCCTCTCACACACCCCCACACCCTCCCCACACTGCTGGCCTGTACCCCAGTTCTTGCATGCATAAATAAATAAATCTTTAAAGAGGAAAGGAAACAAGGCAAAGGAAACTCGAATATAAAAACGAAATCCCAGCTGCAAGCTTTTGCAGACTGCCACTGACTTCCGCAGAGTCTACCTGACTTCCGCTCTTTCCTCTCTTGGAAAGTACTTTCAATAAAATTTTGCTTTGTTTCTAACCTCTCAGTCTCTGTGGGTTCTTCTGCAACCCGCGCCGAGCTACCCTAGACCCCTGCCCTGGTACCACATCGACACTGCTAGAACTACCCTCTGCCCCCGCCCCGCCAAGCCTTCAGACGGAGCCAGAGCCAGTGGGAGCCAGAAGCACAACTTCACAGCCTCGGACTAAAAACCGGCCCCCAGTCACCGAGCGCGGCTGAACGGGCCTCTGGGCCTGTCCTCGCACTGATCACATTCCTTGGCTTCAACTACCCCGCGGACTCTTAACCCGGGGCCCAAGTTTCCACCTCTGTGCGCCGGCTGCAGAGCGGCCCCTTCTCGCTGGGGCGGCAGACAGATGGCACGAAAGCACATTTTCGCCTACAAGACCCGAGGCAGGATTTAGGTCTGGTGCCAAGCGCATTCCACAGCTAGCGTGAGAGGCACCCCAGGAAACAATCCCCTCCGGGGGCGCCGAGCAGAAGCGGAATTCCCGGCACGGGTGGCCCGAGCGCACGCGAAGGGGGCGCGGGGTGCCCCGGGCCTGCTCTGGTCTGCAGGAGCGCGCCGCGGGCCAGCGGCCGGCGAGGTGGCGCCGTCGGGGGTGAAACGGCGGGTGGCGAGGGAAGGAGGCGGCCCCAGAGGCGTGAGCCCGGCGGGAAGTGACCCCCGGGCAGCGCCCGCCACCCCGCCCGCGCGGACCCCGAGCGGCGGCTGCGTCCTGGGGGCACGGTCCCCGCCGCCGGGGCCCCGCAGCTACGCCCCGCGCGCCCCCGGCGCTTACGGTCTTCGGCTCGCGGCTCCCGGGCGCGCAGGCTACAGGCTCCGACCGCGACGCGCGAGGCCTCCCACTCCCGCCCCCGGCGCGCCGGGCCTTCCGTCGCCCGCGCTGACCCCGCCCAGGCTCGGCCTTCCAGCGGGCGGGCCCGGAGAGGGGACACCCCCCGCAGGCTCCACCTCCGCCTGGGGAGGCCGCGGCTCGGGGGGCGGCCCGCCCGCCCAGGTACCGAGCCCCAGCCGGGGTTTAGGAGGGGTGACAGCACCCGGGTGCAGTGGCTTTGTCAGTGGAAGAAGCGAAACGAGCCCGAGGCTTGCATGTTGCGTCTTTGTTATTTCATCTTTCTGGCCATTCACTGTTGCTTCTTCCACACGTAGGTCCAGGACAGGTTGGGAAAGTTAAAAACACATTTGTCTTTCAACACTAGTCTGGAGCACAGCAGGACCTACTCAGAGGTGAGGGCTGAGATACGCAATGCTGAGCTCAACACCTGGAGACCAGATGCCAGTAAATCTGCTCTTCAGAAGGAGCTCCGGACCTGGAACAGAGGATACTGGGGGAGCTTCCGACTTCGGCATCGGCAACAAGCGTCTCTCCCCAGACCTTCATCCTTAGAAAACCTGCCCTGTCACCTCTGTCATTGCGCCTCCTTATCACCTCAAAACCTCTCCAACGCCTCTTTCATGAGCTCAGAAATGCAGTTCTTTGAACAACATGCATCCTCAATAACTCAGCCCACGGTCCACAGCAAGGAGGCCCCAAGCATGTCCTGTTGCTGGGATATCACTGTCACTCTGCAAACAACTTTAGGATAAAATTATCCGCCCCCCAACCCCCACCAACCATGTTCTAAGAACTCTCCATTGCAATAAGGAGAGGCATTTATGACCCCCCCCCCCACACACACACAACTAATTCCTACCTGCAAGCCTTTGCTCATAGAACACTCCTGGACAGGATGCTCTCCTGCATGCAATCATGGATCCTCCTGTCCTTTATTCCACATCCTCCTACAAGAGCCTTATCTTACCCCCACAGTCTCTGGCCTCCCTGTGCTCCTTCAAAACTTGCAGTCTGTGAGATTCCCCCACCCCTGTCTCCTCCACCACCCCCCATTTTTTACTCTTAAAACTGCAGTGATGATGAAGACATCCTAAAATTAGATACTGGTGGTGGTATATGATTATACTTAAAACATCTAAGTTACACACCTTAAAAGGATAAATTTTATAGTATGTGAATTATATTTCAACAATATTATTTTTATATTTAAAAACTGCAGTGAGATTGTAAAGTCACATCTCACTTCTGTATCTTTTTTTAAAAAAGATTTATTTATTTATGTGTACAAGAGCTGGGGTACAGGCCAGAGATGTGGGGGATGAGAGGATTCACCAGAGACAGAGTGGGGAACAGAACAGGCGGATCTACTGAAATACACTGCTGAGGGGAGCAGCAGGGGAGTCAGGAGAGGTCTGCTGCACCCTGTGAGTCAGCTCCCTGGCCGGGGATCAAACTCATGCTGCAATGGCTGCAGATTGCATCATAGTGCGGTGCTTAACCCCTTGCGCCACCCGGGAGGCCCAACCACTTCTGTATCTTAATATCCTCCTCCTTGGTTAGATAATCTATCCAGCATTAGATTATTAAATCTAAGATAGTGCAAGATATTTCAAAGTATAATCTACACAGACGGTCAGTAAATAAAAAATCACAGGGTCCAACTCACCAGGGTAAGATTTAGAAAGTCAGGTTTCCATTGCTTTTGGTCAAAAGCCATTGAAACATGTATGGAGCAGAATAGATATAACGTGACCTCTAGAATAAATTATATTTTAAAAAAGCAAAACAAAGGCTGTTCTCTGTACAAACTTCTAGAGAGTTTCCAGGTACATCAGGTGGAATGAAAAATAATGTGTACAGGGGACAGTTTTGGATAAAAATTGTACATCAGTTCCTGATTCACCAAGAAGGAAACAGTCTATATGCCAAAAATGTACTATATCAATCAAATCATGAGAAAACATCTGGCAAATTCCAAATTAAGTAATAGTCTACAAAAGTAACTGGCCTGTACTCTTCAAAAATGTCAATGTTAAAGTAAATGTCAGTGTCACAAAAGACAAGGAAAGGCTGGAAACTTTCTAATTAAAGGAGATTAAAGTCATGAAAACGCTGGTTCTCTTGTAGACTGGACCCTGGACCAGAAACACAGTTTTTCTAAAGACTATTATTGAGGCTATTGTCAAATTTTGAAGGTCTGTAGATTAAATAATAATATTTATTAAACTTATATATCTTTAGTTTGAGAATTGAGTATTTTATAAGTGGACATCCTGATCTTAGAAAATACAATCTGAAGTATTTAAGGAGTGGTATAATATCATGTCTGAAATGATGAAGGAGGTGGGGAGGGACAGGTACAAGGCACTGTCTGCCCAGTGCTACTTAAGAGCCAAGGTATCGGGACTGTAAAAAGGTACTATAATTATTTGTTCTTTGAATAAGAATATTATATGAATGGCTACATTCACATAATAAGTCTTTTACTTTTAATCAGTGAAACGACCTTCCTGTGAAGAGATGGGAATAACAAATAAAACAAGAAGATCCAATGGAACTTAGTCAATTAGAACCCCCCCCCCCCCGAAAAAAAAGAACCTACCCCCAAACAAAAAATTATCAAACTATGGCACAATAAAATTTTGAATGGGGTAACCATTTTGGTTGGAGTAACTGAAAATAATATAACCTCTGAGTGATTAAAATCTAGATCAAGTAGTCAAAGTATCTTATCACTTAACTGATCCAAACCTTTGATCAATGGAACAAGTTACCCTAGGGATAACAGCACAATTCTATTCTAAAGTTTACATATATTGACAATAGGGTTTATGACCAAAATATTGGAGCAGGACAAACTAATGGTTTGCTCGTTGACAGATCAAAGTCCTAGGTAATCCGAGTTCAGACGGGAGTGATCAAGGCCAGTTTCTATTTTATATTTCATCTTGTACAAAAGCACAAGAGAAGATAAGGCATACTTCATAAAAGCACCTTTAAAGTAATAGTGATTTATCTCAATCTAATTAATTCACAATAAACCTGTCAAAGAACAGGGTTTGTTAGGGGGTTAGAACCCTATAAACATACTTGGGATCATAAAACAAACTTATGATCAGATGTTCAACTCCTCTCTCTAACAATATGCTCACAATTCACCTTCTTTCATTAATTATTCCCATTTTACTTGCCAAAGCATTCCTTATGCTAGTTGAAGGAAAAGTGTTAGGCTAAATTACAACTTCAAAAAGGACCAAACATTGTCCCCAGGGCCTCTTCTAACCTACTACTGATGTTGTCAAACGACTTACCGAAGACCCATTATAACATCATCAATATCATTTATTGAACCAATCCTAGTCCTGTTATCCCTGTTATTCCATATTATCCATAACATAATCAACAATCATCAAACAACATAATCCTAGGTGTACTATTCATATCACAAATTATGTTTTCATATCATAATGTTATCAAATCATAACATTATCATCTAAGAATATCCCTGCCACGCCATAATATGATTTATTTCAGCCCTAGCAGAAACAGTCAAACTCCGTTCAACCTAACAGGAGAGTTAGAATGCATTTCTGGCTTTAGTGCTGAATACTCAGCAGACACACTCACCCTATTTTTTCCTAGCAGAATGTGTCAACAGTATCATAATATACAATTTCACAATCCCCTACATATCAGAAATATATTCAATCAACTTTATGGTGAAAACCCTCTTCATAATAATTTCCTATGATTTCAAGCATTCTTTCCATAATTTTATGATCAATTCATAGAGCTTCTATGAAAAAAAATTCCAGTAACACCAGCATATGACACAATCATTACCTATCATAATATCAAGTATGCCATCACAAACTGAAGAAATGTCTGACAACAGAGTTATTTTGTTTTTTTTTAAGATTTATTTATTTATGCACACAAGAACTGGGGTATAGGCCAGAGGTATGGAGGGTGAGAGGATTCAGACCGACTGACTGAAATACACTGCTGAGGGAGCAGCGGGCGAGTCAGGAGAGGTCTGCTGAGCCATGTGGGTCACCTCCCTGGCCGGGGTTCGAACTCGTACTGTAGTGGCTGTGGATAGCTTCACAGTGCTGTGTCTTAACCCACTTGTGCTACCAGGGAGACCCCTAAAAGAGTTATTTTAATAGAGTAAATTATAGAAATTTAAATGCTGTTATTTCTAAAATTACAGGAATTGCTGCACCTTCCCCTGCAGTGACCTTTAGGGCTAACCGCCCCTAGGTCCGGCTGGGCAACCAGCGCGCAGGGGAAGAACAGCAAAACCCTACCTGCTGCACCTCCCCCCGCAGTGATCTTTAGGAATGGCTTTCGCCACGGTCCCTAGGTCCGGCTGGGCAACCAGCGCGCAGGGGGAGAACAGCCTGAAGCAGAGGAAGTGCAACGGAAGTTCCCTGAAAAGGCAGAAGCTTATCAATAGATAACGACCACCAAGAACCACTACAAGAATGCTAAAAATCTTATCCCTCTTCCTAGAACTACAAACTTTAATCCCTTATTTGTCTTTCTAAACTTCCTTCTTTCTTCTATAATGGTCATTGCTTGTTATGTAGATCACCTCCCTGATAGTGGTAGACTGAGCCCATGAGCAAGCTAATTTCCTTGATATTCATTCCTGTGCTTTTGGAAAACATATATATACTGGTCACAAATTTAGAGAAAATTACACTCAGATTTTCACTCTTGAAGTGTGTCTGTTTGTCATTTCTTTCGCCGACGCCCTGACCATCCTGCACGCTTCTCTCAACCCTGAGGTGGCCTCATCGTCTACTGCTGTGCTGGTCCGTGGCAGGAATCAAACCTACTTCTGAGAACTCAAAAATTTCCATTCTGCCATATTACACCATGTTCTAAAATAAGGTTGTTTAAATAAGCTATCAGCCCATACTCACAAAATGTTGGGTTATATTCTTCCTGTACTAATAAATCTCATTTTCTTATGACTTTATTTTGTCAGAGACTAGAATAACTGACAGTAAAT